GTGGCGTTCCAGTAATTGACCTGCATATACATTATCAATATATAGAAGTATAAATACATACAAATATATAATATATACATGGATGTGAATATTATTTATACATACATAATCTTTCACCTATGCACTATATTCGTCAGCTCTTTTCGCGGAGAGTTCTTTTTCGGAGAGTTCAGGATATTTTGCAGAAATATAAGCTTCGAACATACTGTATAAGACCAACACGTATGAAAAATCATCATAGTGGATTATAGTAAAATGTAAGTGAAAACATTCCAAATTATACCTCTCAAATGGCTGAAAATAATCACAATTTCGCAAAACATATGCATGTGCGCATCGATGGTCGTTCTCTGAAAGCTATATTTCATGCATTTCCCCACTTGGTCGACCTATGTGAGTAAATATATCAGGTACTCCAGGGACATGATATACGGGAACTTCACCTTCGTCAAATCTTGTTAGCCTAACCAAATGAGTGAAAAGTCATTCACATTAGAATATATACCATGTGTCTTGAAATTTGATTAATTTAAACATTTACCTTGATTTCGTTTGTATATGTGCGGCAAAGTAGTGCTCTGAGAAATAAGCTACCTCATCATTGATATATGATTCAACAATCGATCCTGCCGCATATCTTTTGTTCTTTGCTTTCCCTTTCAATTTCTTGAAAAACATTTCAAAAGGATACATCCACCTATATTGCACAGGGCCTCCTAGTTCAGCTTCATAGGAGAGATGTATAGGCAGGTGCTCCATCACGTCAAAGAATGATGGTGGAAAGATCTTTTCCAAATTGCATATGATTAAAACTATATTCTGTTTCAGAAGTTGGACGTGACTTTTTTGCAAAGTTCTCGAACATAAGTCACGGAAAAATCCTCCAACTCTTACATAATATATTCAAACAGCAAGTTAATGGTTGTTTTAATATGATATGAGGTATATTTAAATGTTGCATCTTTCATAGAGCTATAAGTAATTGGTACCTGATAATGCAAGGTGGACGTTTCGGTCTAGGAGTTCTGCAAAGATAAATGGTAGTAGACGCTCCATAAAAACATGGCAATCATGGCTCTTCATGCCTGAAAACTTTTCGTTAACCATATCAACACAACTAGCTAAGTCTGACGCATAACCATCTGGGAATTTAACCGCATGTCTCACATATTCCAATAAACTTGTTCTGGCTTCTTCTGTCAATGTGAATGCGGGGAAAGGAGCTTTACCATCACTATCAATATGTAAGTCTGGTCGAGAACATAATCGTTCTATATCCCATCTTGACATGATGGTGTCTTTTGATTTACCTTTCACACTCATAAGAGTATTCATGATGTTGTCAAAAAAATTCTTCTCTATATGCATCACATCAAGATTATGTCGGAGATTGAGGTCCTTCCAGTACGGCAGCTCCCAGAATATGCTTTCCTTATGCCAGTTATGCCAATTCCCATAGCCTGCTTTTTTCTTTTCATGACCATTTCCACCACAGTTTTTTGTTTTTGGTGGATTAACACCATCTAACCGCTCGTAGTAAACTTGCTCACCTGTCAAAGACTGAGGTGGAACCTTATTCAAAGCGTGTTTTCCTTTCAAGAAGTCTTTTTTATTCTTCCTCAGTGGATGATCTTGAGGAAGAAATCTCCGATGACAATCAAACCAACACGTCTTCCTTCCATTAGGGAGATAAAATGACTATGTATCTTCCATGCAAATTGGACAAGACAATTTACCATGAGTCGTCCATCCTGATAACATGCCATAAGCTGGAAAGTCGCTTATCGTCCACATAAGCACTGCTTTCAGGTTAAAATTTTGATTCAAGGATACATCGTATGCATCGACTCCAGTAGACCACAATTCTTTTAACTCGTCAATAAGAGGTCGGAGGAAGATATCTAGGCTAGCTCGCAGATGATTTGGCCCAGAATTCAGAATTGTTAGAAACAAATACTCTGTATTCATGCACATACCTGGGGGTAAATTATATGGAGTCAAGATCACAGGCCACAATTAATGATTACGAGACATGCCAAAAGGATTGAATCCATCTGTACATAATCCAAGATAAACATTACGGGGTTCTTCAGCAAACTGAAGATGTAGGTCTTGAAAATATTTCCACTCTGCTGCATCAGACGGATGACACATTTCTCCCTCCTTTGCTTTGTGCTCAACATGCCATCTCATTGCCGCTGCGGTCTTCTCGCTCTGATACATTCTTTTCAATCTGGCAGTAATTGGTAGATACCACATACGACTAAATGGAACTTTGGTTCTCCGTCGTCCGTTGTTCGGCTTCCATCTTGGTGCATCACAGAACTGACATGTATCCCACTTTTCATCCTCTTTCCAGAAGATCATACAATTATTAATACAAACATCAATTGTATAATATGGTAGGCCTAAATTGCGCATCAATTTTTCTGTCACGTAAAGTTAACCGGTTGACTGGTTTCCGTCTGGTAAATACTCTGTCAACATATCGCAAATTGAATCCACGCACTTTTCACTCATGTTATAATCTGTCTTATTTTGCATGACTCGAGCAGCTAAGGATAACTGCGAATGACCTTCGTGACAACCATCGTATAATGGATTTTTCGCTCTTTCTAACAAGTCGTAGAATTTTTGGAATGGATATGTATCGGTTCTTCTACATTTTGATAATTATCATACTGATGATAGTTATCAAAACGCTCGGTATCACAAAATGCATCATTCACCATATCTACATATCTATCTTCTACTACATTACCTACTTCTTCATTCCTACTTATTTGGGTTGTATTAACATAACTCGTTCCTAAATCCATATTGATTTCTTCTCCATGCTTATACCAAACATAATAATCTGGCATAAATCCTCTACTATACAGATGATTCCAAATTGTTTTCCCGAAGATAAATTTGTCGTTTTTGCAACCACTACAAGGACAGTGAAACTTACCCCTATTGCTCTGCGCTAGAGGCTGGTTATTTGCAAATGCCATAAATTGATCGACCCCTGCTGTAAACTCTGCCAAAAAATTTCCCGTCTCTTCATCTATCCTCTTATACATCCACTCCCGACCATTACTGTAATTATAATTGCCCGACATTATATGAAAAAAAAAAGATAAAACTTTATCACTCGTTTTTTTTTGGCAAATTACTCACAGAAAAAAGTTACTCTATCTTATTTTTTTCTTTTGTTTTTTTTTATCAAACATTCTCTCTTTTTCTTAATTTTTTTTTCTACTAAAACTCGTTTTCCTAATTTTTTTTTATCAGACACTTTCTTTGAGATTATATGCAATGAGAACGGTGGATATGAGATATATATAGAAATATTTACGACTATAAAGTGATTATATTTTGACTACAAAGAAAAGTCACACCCACCACATAACGCAGAAAACGTGTTTTACCAGTTTTTATGTCGGCAAAGGTTACGACTATTTTATGACTATATTGCGACCACATACAGATTTAGTCACAAATTAGTCGCAAACTCTGCCAACATACCATGTAGTCGTAATATAGTCGCAAAGTTACGATTATTTTGCGACTAATATTTAGCGATCATATACGTTAGTCACAAATTAATCGCAAACTCTGCCGACATACCATATAGTCGTAAAATAGTGGCAAATTTACGACTATTTTGCGACTAAAATTTAGCAACTAAAGTTTCGTCGCAACGTAGTCGTAAATATACGACTATATTACGACAACATTTCGTAATCTCTAATTAGCGATTATATTGCGACCATATGGGTATAGTTGCAATATTTATTGCTAAATAGTCGTAAAGTAGTCGTGTATTTTTGCGACTACCGTCGTAGTCGCACTCCGTAGTCGCAAATTGCCTGTTTTCTTGTAGTGAGACATATATAATGAATCATAGTGAGGCCGGTAACAATCGTCATCGTCACCGGCTATATTTTCAAAAGGGCTTTTTTGTTAACATCTTTTAAAAAGTGTTTGAAAAACCCAAAAGCGAATAGGATTTTTTTTTAGAGATAATCATTATTGAGTTATTTGGTTAAACTGTGGATCAATATTTGGTTATCCTTCACCAATAGTTTTCGATTTTATGATTAGTATAACCATCAAATGAAATTAGTAGTATATATAACCGATGATAATTACTAATCAAACTCACTATAATCTAAATGAATTGTTTTCCTAGTTCACAATCAGACAGGTAGATAAGATTGAAACAGACAATCTCAAATAATGCAATTTTTTGGGAGACCTCAAATGAAATAAGAAACGAAGATGATTGGCTGTTCGTTTTTCATGCTTTTGCTGTCCCATCGATTAAAACCAATAAAATCATGATCCGAGAGAAATTTTTTATAATATGGATATGTTAATGTGGTTGAACATCGTTGTCTAGAACAATGTTGAATCACTAAATGAAATATAGTTTGGTATGTTTAGCTCATACTATATTAATCATTAACCTTTTTTTTTAATAAAGGGGTTTTAATCATTAAACTTTACGCGAATCAAAATGTAATTGTCGACGGGTCATGATCCTTGAAATCTTATGACAGGGAGAAGTGAAGTTCCGTATTTAAAAAAGGAAAAATAAAGTATTGAAAAAAAATTCCGTATTGTAATTTCTATATGAACGTGAATTAACCAGAACTTGTCATCTATCATTCAAAAACAAATCTAATTATTGATATGATATGATGTATATAAAAACAATTCATATTAATATGTGATATGATATGATGTTGTTCCTGAAAAGTCCGAACGTCCACCAGATTAAGATGAAGATATAGTTGGCTGAAAAAGGACAGCTAGCATTTACTGTTTGAAAACATTAATTAACAAAAACATCAAGGCATATTACAAAAATCAAAGCAGTAATAATAGATGTAAATAATGAAACCACACAAGAACACATTATTATATTGAGTTCACCTTACAAAGACACACATGCACACACACACACAAAAACAGCAAATATATGACGGTGGTGATGATGGTTCGAAAGGGATTTAAGCTTTGAGGACGTGGTGGTCCATTTCAGCAGCCATGCTCTTGATGAACTTCATGTAGTTGATGGGCTCAGGCGAGTCATCGGTTCGCTTTTCCCATATCATTGTGATCTTGCAGACGATATCATCAGGCGACTTTTGAATGAACTGAAATATGCAGTCATAGACTTTAAGCTCCTCCATCACGTGACCGTCGAGTCCCCTGAGCGTTACCGCCATATTATCATCGTCATTTTCTCTTCTCTCCTTGAACACCTCCTGTTTTCCATCTTCATATAGTTGTACATATATATGTTAATTCGTGGAATTAGCACTTAGCTCCATATGTTTAAAAAATCTACCTAAATAAAAAAAATCCTCAAAACAAAACATTCTTCTGTAAAGTCTAATTTTACTCATGGATGATTAACTACAATCAATCAAGATAAAAACTTGCGGAGTTCAAACATAAGAACGTTTTAGACTGAGGGAGAGAGCTGACTTTTTGAGCAAACCCTAAAAACGCTCTTTTCAATAAAAAAAAAGGTATATCGAAGCCTACCGGACATATAATATATATTTTTAATTTAAGTGTATTTTGTTACCGCATGTGTAGTTCCAAGTCTTGATGCTTCCATGAGAGTCCCACTCGCCTTCGTGGACGGTGACTTTTTGAATGTGAGAGCCAACGGCTTCGGGGAAGAGGTGGTTCTCATGCTTCCACCGCTTGTAGTGTTTCTCCGCCGATCCCTTCAATGGAACCTCCGTCACATATGTTCCTGACGTTGCCATCTCTCTCTTCTTTGGGTATTGAGTGAAGTTTGTTTGTTTGAATATTTTCCCTTGTGTTCTCCTTCCTTTATATAGATAGAGAGGAGAGAGCGTCACGGTTAAAAAAAAACCTAAATACATGTTGTTTTCTTTCATTTGACCACACTTTTTTTTTTTTTTTTTACCACGATTCTCACTTGCATCTTGCTTTTTTACAATCAAGTAAAAAAGAACTATGGCCATGCTACCATGCATATTATTCACGAGTAAGTGCAAATTCACTCTGCGTAAAAAAGTTAAATTAGTTTACTATTATTTTTTTATTGTCTCGTATAGTTGACGTTTACGAAATTCTTTATCATAGAATGGTATGTATTAGGTTTGACAAAATGCAATAATGCACATGTGATATGCTCACTATCTATCAGCGTCATCAATATCAAGAAATATATTTATTCTTAAGCAAATGGAAATGGTCTTGTGATTTATTTCTAATATTCAAATATATACTGATGTTTGGCTTTCGATTACGCTTTCATTGAAACCCTCTCCGAACAGTACAAATGCCTAAAATATCATAATCAAGCCGTAGACAATGAAATCATATTTTAATGGGGCCAGTAACAATCGTTATCGTCTTTCTACGAACTAAAGAGGAAATAGGTGAATTCCGATAGGAATCAAGGCTGAAACTGATTATTATCTTTTAAGAGAGGTTTTAAAGATTTTTGTTAACATCTTTTAAGAAGTACTGTTTTGAAAAGAAAAAAAAACAAATTGGACTATTTTTAGGGCTAATAAATTTATTTGATTTAATTGTAAATTAATGTTTCTTTTTTACAGCCTGAATATTTCTATATCGAAATTCAGATGAAGTAGTAGTGAGTCTCATAAAAATCCAGATTTTTTCAATCATTTTAAAAGTTTATGGATGACAAAACGCATATATCTAATGGAATACTAATTCGGATAGGATGCGTAGTTTAATTTTCAAAACCATATCCACTTGATTTGTTAATTATAACTTGACAATAGCTAAAAGTATATAGTATTGTATATATGTGTATGCTAATACACATTTCAATATAATATCCAAATCTTTTTCAAATAAAACCTTATTAAAAATTAACAACTGCAACATTAGATTGTAGCGGTGATACAAAGTGATAAACAAAATTTTAGTGAGAATGAAAAAATAACAAGCGATAACGAAATAGTTAGAAAATGTAAAAAACAAATAACATACAGTAAATATTAAGAACAGTATCACTAATAGTTTCTGGTTTTATGATATAGTAATCATCAAAATCAAAATAGTATACATTTTACTAATGAGATACACTAATCAAACCCACTCTAATCTAAATTAAAACAGACAGTGCCAACCTCAAATGAAATAAGAAACGAAGATAATTGGCTGAACGTTTTCATGCTTTTGCAGTCCCATCGATAGAAAACCAATAACAAGCATCATCTGAGGGAAAAAAGAAGATTCATTTGATATCAGTGTCTAGAACAATGTTGACATTACTATAAATGAATTATATATTTTGGTATGTTTAGCTTATATTAATCATTAAACTTTACGCGAATCAAAATGTAATTGTTGACGGGAAGAAATTCCATATTCTAAATTCCATATGAACGTGAATTGCTCAAAACTTGTCGTCTATATTCAAAAACAAATTGGAAGATAGAAAGAAAACGTGACACAGTATTGGGCCTTTTCTTGTTGAAATTTGACTTTTGGGTCATGAGATCTTTGGGCCCATAATCCTTAAAATTGCTATCAAGTTTCTGAATGCACAAGCCGAGGATTTTCCTTGCGAAACGAAGAGATGATTGCGAAACAAACGCCATTTACAAAACAAATGCTCTCCAAGCTATTACGAACAAGCTCTTCAAAGCCGGAGCAGCTTAAGAAGATCCACGCGCTTGTGCTAACGTCCGGTCTCTCTGCCAAGAACAGCCTCTTAACTCAACTGTTAGAGAAACTTATAGTTGTAGGCGACATGTGTTACGCACGCCAGCTGTTCGACGAAATGCACAAGCCGAGGGTTTTTCTTTGGAACACTCTTTTCAAAGGGTACGTTAAAAAACAGCTCCCCTTCGAAAGTGTCATGCTTTATAAAAAAATGCGTCGTCTTGATGTTCGTCCTGATGAATTTACTTACCCGTTTGTGGTGAAGGCGATCTCTCAGCTTGGGGTTTTACCCTGTGGCTTTGCCTCTCATGCCCATGTGGTGAAATACGGTTTTGAGTCTCTTGGGATCGTTGCAACTGAGCTGGTGATGATGTACATGAAGTTTGGTGAATTGAGTTCGGCTGAGTTCTTGTTTGAGTCTATGCAAGACAAAGATATAGTGGCTTGGAATGCGTTTCTTGCAGCTTGCGTTCAAACGGGAAACTCGGGTATAGCTCTTGAGTATTACCACAGAATGTGTGCGGGTGATGTTCAGTTTGATTCTTTTACAGTCGTGAGTGTGCTCTCTGCTTGTGGTCAGCTTGGCTCTTTGGAGATCGGAAAAGAGATTTATGATCGTGCGAGGAGAGAAGGTATTGATTGTAACATAATCGTTGAAAATGTGAGGCTTGATATGTACTTGAAGTGTGGTAGCACCGAAGACGCGAGGGTATTGTTCGACGAAATGAAACAGAGGAATGTAGTTTCTTGGAGCACGATGATTGTAGGATATGCAATGAATGGAGAAAGCGAAGAAGCCTTGGCATTGTTCGCTATGATGCAGAGTGAGGGACTAAGACCGAACTACGTGACATTTCTCGGGGTCCTCTCTGCTTGTAGCCATGCGGGACTAGTGAATGAAGGGAAAAGGTATTTCAATCTCATGGTTCGGTCGAATGATAGGAATCTTGAGCCGAGGAAAGAGCACTATGCATGTATGGTTGATTTATTAGGACGCTCTGGTCTTCTAGAGGAGGCCTTTGAATTTATCAAAAAGATGCCTTTGGAACCTGATGCTGGCATCTGGGGAGCCTTGTTGGGTGCTTGTGCGGTTCATCGTGATATGAAACTGGGCCAGGAAGTAGCAGACTTACTTGTAGAAACAGCTCCTGACATTGGTGCATACCAAGTACTACTGTCTAATATATATGCAGCTGCTGGTAAATGGGATTGTGTTGACAAAGTAAGGAGTAAAATGAGGAAGCTCGGCACTAAAAAAGTTGAGGCTTATAGTTCCGTTGAATTTGACGGCAGAATTCATTTTTTTAATAGAGGAGATAAATCACATCCACGGTCAAAGGCGATATATGAGAAACTGGAGGAAGTCTTGAAGAAGATAAGGGACATAGGTTATGTTCCCCAGACAGGTTCAGTGTTTCATGATGTGGAAACTGAGGAAAAAGAATCTTCTCTTAGTCATCACAGTGAGAAGCTCGCTATTGCATTTGGACTCATTAATGGGAGACCGGAACATCCTATACGGGTTATGAAGAACTTGAGAACCTGTGATGATTGCCACGTTTTCGCCAAGTTTGTTTCCAGGCTTACTTCGAGAGATATCATCATGAGAGACAAGAACAGGTTTCACCACTTCAGAAATGGTGTTTGCTCTTGCAGAGAGTTCTGGTGACTTCACTTATCAATGTTTTGGTTAGGTTGTTAAGAGAGATCTTATGAGAAATGCTTCCACGGATTTTGAATGTATCTGAAGCTTTGAATGTTACAGAAGACCAGTTGACTCGATACCAAGGTCTTGATCCACAAATCTTGCATATGGCAGCAAATCGCGAAAGCTTATGTCTCATACGATGCACAAGCTTAGATAAGGTACATAATACTCAGTATTGCTTAGTTGATCTTTAATTGATCATTAATTATGTTGATCTTTGCCTGCCTCACTTTTTTGCAAACTAATGGGTTTTGTAATTTTCTTAAGAAATGTCAATCGATTTTTACAGGTCTTGTATTGTCTCTCTGGTAAAAGTATAAATAGCTAAAATGGAACTACTTTTCATGCTTTTCAGGAGTTAAACAAGGGTCAAATTTGTGAAATTGGAATTTAATGTTGATGTCAGTCATTAGATGCTATTGACAGTGATTAAAAAACTGAGTTTGCCTCTGTTTATGGATTTCTCTGAGAGTTGAGAAGCATGGACATGAAAGAAGCAAGAAAAAAAGAAAAGGCTCTTTGTGAAAGACAGAACATGAAGACATGAATGAAAACAGAGAGAGCGACAGAGATGAAGACAAAACAGAGAACAGAGGTTGTTATATCACTTGTCGTCAAGACATGTGAGTGCCAAAAAAATCTCTGCAACCTTTTTCTTCTTTTCAATTTAGCAAAACTAAGGTAATTCCTTGACTAAAAGCTACTTGCTTTAATTAGTAAAAACACTTTGTACATTACATCAATTTGGTTTTTTACACACAGTACCATTCTCTTTCTCTCTCTCTCCTCTCAGAAAACATAAATTCGATATTTTTTTCCCGGGGACAACGGCTATTAATACTGAACTGTCCAATGCACCATCTCCAAGCAAAATGGCAGAAATTATAAAATTAATTGCAATTTTAAAAATATTTAAGCCGAGAGAACAATCAAAGCATTGTGGGAGGTGAGATAAAAAAAAAAAAGTCAAAGTTTAAAGATCTGAGTAGTACAGATATGAGAAGGTTCTCTCCCAGGAATCAAGGGTCAAGATCGTTTGATAAGACCCATAAGATAAGGAAAAACTTAAATTAAAATAAAAAGCTAATTCCATAAATTAAAAAAAAAATCTTTTCGTCCTTCTTCTTCTTCTACTACTTCTTCTTCTTCTTTCTCATTATCCAAAGAGACCCAGACAAACTTTTTTTGTTACTTAGACTTCACTCAAAACAAAGAAAAGAGTTTTGTCTTTTGGGTTTATCTTCTACTACTACTCAAAGTTATCACTTTTTTTTTATCCAAATAATATTATTATAATTAGTCAAAACCCATTTTTCTCATCTGTTTCTCGAATCCAAACCTGCTCTGCACTACCAAACACCGACAAAACGGAAATAATTTTTCTCTCAAAAGAAAACAGAGAGAGAGATACATACTCAAATACTCTGTTTTCACTACCTCATGGGGTTCTAAAGAAACCCATAAAAACCTTTTCTTTTCACTCAAATCAAACTGCCATGGAAGCTTGTGTAGAGAAAGAGCAGCAAGACAGAAGAAGAAGAAGAAGAAAACGAGCAACCACTGCCTGCACGGTGTTCTTGTGGGGAATCTTGATCTTTGCTCAGATTGGTTTGTCTTCATCAGCTCTTTCTCCTGATCAGTATTACCACCAATCCTACCCTTCACCGAGAAAGGCTGGTCCTTTCCACGAAACGGCATCGTTTCGTTCCCCAAGAGCCTCAGTGTCGTTCACAGGTCCACGTCGAGAAGAAGAAAACAGAGATGATGTTTATAAAGACGACAAGAGATTAGTTCACACAGGTCCAAATCCTCTTCACAACTGAAGCTAATTAGTAAAACACGTGTCTGGTCTCTGTTTGAGCTTTGAGAAATTGCTTTTGAGATCTTTCCTTCGATCTACTTTCGTAGATTTCTATGTTTTTTGTTTGTTTTTGTCACTAATGAGATATAGATCATTTACCCTTAGCCTTCTTCTCTCTGAGGCTAGGAGTTAATGATCTTGTTTCTCTTTGTTGTAACATTTTTACTTCAATGGCGACCAACGACCTTCGAAATTCAAGAACTATTGAAAATAATTGTTGTACTTAATTATTTAATTAAATCAGTATGTATTAGAAATTCCAAAGAAAACAATGGTTGAAGATTCGAATGCATGGGTTTCTTCGAAGATCATGTTCTGTGCAAAAAAGAAGGTTGTCTTTTTGTGATAAGTGATTAATTAATGCTATATGTATACTATTTGTTTTTAAAACTCGATGTTGAATAGGTACAAAGACTCCAAACTCTTAAACTATACAGTAGTATATAATATAATAGGGATAGGGGTACATTGTAATTGTTAGATGTTTCTTTAAATTTTATGAACAATGAAGCTGTTGACTGCGATCGGTAGCTTCTGAAAAGGGAGAACCAAAGACTTGAAATTTGGTGAAACTCATGCATAACAACTAGTTATACTTATATGAGCCCATTGTTTTGGATTTTTCCTATATATTAAATCTGAGAATATGTTTGGCTCTTAGTTAGAAAATAATACATATGTTTAGGTGATGCAGTAAGCATTATATGCATATACTATGTGGTTGGTCCGCACATATGTGCATGTATAATATTTTTGATATACATAGTTAAAAAATTAGTATGTTTGTATATATATATATTGTTTTAGTATTTCACAACTTGTTTCTGAAACTAATTTATTTTAAAACTTTTTATTTTTATGATATTTGTAATAATATATAATCAAAAATATAAAAGTTATATTAAATAATAATTAAATTCTTATAATATTTTTTGAATATTATTTATAATATATTTTATTTATCTTTACACAATCTACAATACTTTTTTACGTCTTACATAATATGAATTTGAAATACGTATATAATATATTTTTAAATATATATTTTTCTTCATTTATTGCAAATTAAACTGAAATAGTTTTTACCATTTTTACTTATCCATGTGTGAGCGTACCAACCACCTCACTACACTTATAATAGATAAAAAAAATTAAAAAAATAAATTGTACTATAAAAATTAAAATATATATTAGACTGTAATCAAGCTTAACAAATACTAACATACACGAAGAAGTTCATGTGACTTCTACTAATGCACAATTAATATTTATGTTTGTACGGGTATTTGTAAAAAAGTTGAAATATGACTCTTACATGTTAAAAAGTTTTTAAATGACTTTGTAAAACAAAGTGCGAGAGATTTATTTTTATACACTTCTATTTTTTTAATTCTTATTCATATTTATTTCATCATATTTTAATTTATTATTTCGTTCGATTATTTTTCATTTCATTTATGATCTTAAATTTTTGATATTCAATAAAAAAAATTATGAATATATATATATATGAATATGATAAAAATGTATTTATTTAAAATACCATAAGAGATAAGATGAGATGGCAACATAAATTATGTATATTTTGGAAAAAACAATAAAATGGTGATAAAAGTTTTATAAAAAATATATAGTTCTATTAATATTATTTTTAACATTTTATTCTTTAAATTATTTTTATCATGATTGAATTTTATTTAAAATTGTATTATTTAATCATTTATTTATTTAAAACTTGTTCAAATGTTTTTACTATATTTTGTAAATTAATAACTTTCCAAAAAAATGTATCATACTTCAAACATTATTAATATATAGAATCTTTACTATTCTATTGGATAACATAATATGATTTTTTCGATTTTATATGAAATATTTTTTTTTGTTGAAAATATTTTTTAGTTATATTTTATGAAATTATGAATATATGTAAAACATTGAAATCATAATAATAATTATTTTCTATTAATTTAAATTTGTTAGTTTTAGTATTATAAGTATAATCTAGTGTTTTTATGTTTTAATTCTACAAGTTTTTTAATTTTAGTTCAACCAATCAAAATATTTCATTTATTTTAGGAAGTTTGACATGTCACATTTACATGTCATCAATTAAAAACACTAATTTTAGCTGTAGTGTTGACAAATCAGTTATTTTCAATAATGTTACTTCTCAAATAATATGTAGGGGATGCTGAGTATATATAAAACAAAATGTATACTAAGTAGAGATACCCTAATGATACAATAGCCGATTTTTGTAAATCTGACTAACTCAAACGGGTTTAGACATGAACTCTTCCACTCCTGCTAACAAAGTAACAAGGTACGTCGTTTTTGACACTCGTAATTAGCATTTAATTACATCAGTTTGATTTACAGTACAAACTTAATAGGCTAAATGCGTATTGTGACGTGGGAAAAAGACATTATTTATTACTGTAGGGCATTGATGGTTTAGCTTTAATGATTGTTATGTCATTTGTATGTATTTGAACTTAATGCATACGGTTCTCTCGATGAGGATGCCTGACCCCAAAGACCTCTCTATTATTTCTCACTTTTTGAGAAAAAATCAAAATATCATCTGTATACGTACAAATATCTTTAATGCTCAAATAAATACCTGTTCTACTAATTCACTCACGGATTAATTATTTCTATTTCGCTAAGGTAGACTTAAATACTGAATTTCCCAAAACAACCAAATTAAAATCACGAATTGCTGAGGCAAACAGAATGAATTGTTTGACCAAAGAAGTAAAAACTTTGATCTTCGTCTGTTTTTTTATCATTAGAATACGTAGAACATTGATTTGAAATAAGAACCACATATGATTAACTGCTTATTAATATAAAAAGAAACAGGAGTAAAATGCAAATTTTATTTTCTTTCAATACAAATAAAATAACTTTATTTTAGGTCCATTTAGTTAGAGAGGAATGTCCTCAGAGAGAGGTTGTTGCATGTGGAATGAATGTTTTGCACAGTGGGAGCCATAAATGGAGAGATTTAAGGAGCTATAGTGAATATTCAACCACCCCATGCCCTCTCCAAATTTCAAATTTCCCTTTCGGTATTTTTCTGACAGATTTAGAAATTTATTTTGATATGTTGGATTTTCTTGAAACCCAGCTTTTCAAATTTTCATTTTTGTTTTTTTTAGTGTTGTTATATTTTTCATGTTTTGGAACATGTCTAGAAATGGGCTGACAAGAGTCATTGATCCAATTTTATAAGTAGGTTCGACCCAATTTTTTAAGCCCATTTAAGAAGTGAAAAGCTCGACCCACGCGCGTTTATTGGGCTCAGTTGTAGTTTTGGCTATAAAGGTAAAATGGCCGAAACGCGCGGCGCGCGGGGTTTTCTTAAGGTTTTGACTTTTGAGAATTATCAGAGATGCAAAAGTTACATAATCAAAATGTAATTCGTTAAATCCATTTTTACTACTGTTAACTTATAAAATCCGTTTGTAATTGTATGTCTCCGCGCCATATTTAGAACTTATGAAATCATGTTTACAGTTGACTCCTTTCCTTTTGCTTTTGCAGATTATATACAAGTTAATTATATTGTCAAGCAAACTTCAATTACATACATACATACAAGTGTGTATATAGTTCTCTCTCTCTCTCTCTCTATATATATATATATATACTTATGTGGATACATATTTTGGTTTATCTATAAAACAGGACAGAACAGTGTGTATCTTCAATTACATACATACAAGTGTGTATCTCTGTCTCTCTCTCTCTCTCTCTTTATATATATATATATATACTTATGTATGTGGATACATATTTTGGTTTATCTATAAAACAGGACAGAAGGGCAAGTATGATAGACCCAAAAGAATCAATCTCTTGGTAGCCTTTTGATCTCTCTTGCATCACAAGTAAACCTCTCTCATCATTCATTTCCACACAACACTGAAACTCAAGCATTACTCTCTCAAATGTTCAGAATCCCACATTAACAACAACAAGAACATTGAAAGACCCTTTTTTATTAAAAAAAAATCTTGTCACTTTTCTCGATCTTCCCTAAAATAAAAGTGATTAGGGCAAAGTTTGAGTTTCTTCAGAGCATGGGTTACATCTCCAACAACAACCTTATCAACTATTTGACAGTCTCTACTACTCAACCTCATCTTCTTCTACAAGGTATACAAACTCTTACCTCTTTTTATATATCAATCAATGTGTATACATATGGTCTATTTTTCTTGTATATATATAATATATGGTCCTTTTAATATACTATATATTTTGCAGGCGGTATTAACGGGAACGATCATCATCAGCTCATCACTGGATCGCCAGGAGAACTCGGTGATCGGAAAAATAATGTTCCGACGGCGGCGACGTCGAGATGGAATCCTACGCCGGAGCAAATCACAACGCTGGAAGAGCTTTACAGAAATGGGACACGAACGCCGACGCCGGAACAGATCCAACAGATAGCATCTAAGCTCCGTAAGTATGGCAGAGTCGAGGGCAAAAACGTTTTCTATTGGTTTCAGAATCACAAGTCTAGAGAGAGGCACAAACGACGCCGTCACGAAGGAGATGATGATATTTACAACGTTCGTGAACCACAACAAGACGTCAAGGATTCATCATCAGGTGATTAGTAATTAGTTGATTATACGTACATTATTTAGAAGGACGACGACCAAATATTTAAAGTAGTGATTTAGTTTAACCACGTCCATTATTCTTAATCTCTATCAACAAACAATATAAACTTATAAGATATAAATTTAATGGAAAGTTATTTATAAGTGGCAATAACAGGTTGCTTTCGAGCTGAGCTGACAAATAGCTGCCCATCTTTTCCATATACAAACCCACAACCACAGGTATTTTCTCTAATGTATAGAGAGAGTACATATATGTATTGTATACAAACTATACACATACACACTTCTTATATGGATCTATAGGAAGCTTTATCCATGAGATGTTGGGAGCAATAAGGAAAAAAATTGTACAAAAAGCTGCTAACTTTTTAATCATCTCAGTGATCTCTTCTAAAACTTATTATTTATTAAATCTAAAATAGTTATTTTTCCCCCAAAAATAATCTTTAGTGGTCAGATTTATGCTGAGAGTGAAAAAAATAATTAGTTTTGTTTTTTCTGATCAGAATAAATTAGCTCCGGCGAATTGCACTAAAGACAAGAATATACATAATGAAGATCATGGGACGACAGAAGAATCTGAGAGGGCAACAGAGGATGGCAAAGACTCCACGTGGAGAAATCTTGTTACTTCGGTAGTAACTGAAGAACTAGGAGAGATAAATATGGAGGAAAATGGATACAATGTCAACGGGATAGTAGAAGAAGAAATAAGGGAGATCCGAACTTTAAACCTCTTTCCGGTTATGGAGAACCAAGAGAAAACCGACTGGTTTACAGAGGAGAAGAATACAAAAGCAAACCAAATGTGTTGCAACTGTTGTTACTATGAGTTCATGCCTCTGAAAAATAACTGAAACCAAACCCATGTGTGAGTAATAAATAGGGCAATGGATTTAATGACGTTATCGTTTGTTGTTTGTCGAGAAATAGATAAGTGATGTGTATTCAGAGAGATAGATAGAAGAGGATGAAGACGAAGACGTGTAGTAAATGTTAGGAGGGTTTGGAGAACTTAAGATTTTTAAAAAAGGATTTTTAAGGTTTTGAAAATTATAATTATTAGTATTATTACCCGAATGTGAAGTTGGACCATGTTGGGGTTGGGTTTGGAGCTCGAACTAGATATGTGTGTATGAAAGTGAAAGCTTTTGTTAAAGAATTGAATTTACTTCTTCACATGCTTTCTCTTCTTTCTTCTTCTTCCTCTGTAACCTTAGTAATGTGACTGTGTGAGAGAGAGAGACATTCGATGCTGACATGGCACTGTGTTTAGAATCACTCTAGATTTTTCAGTGAATTTAGAATGTATGCGGTTTTATTATCATAAAAAGTGCGCCACAGTGGAGATTTCAGGAAATAATTCGCTAACAGAATTGGAACCTGACATTTGACTTTCGATGTAATGAAGACAAACCATCTTTAATGTATGCCAAATTTGCTCATTTGTTTTAATAAATTTGAATTGAGAAACAGATGATTTTGGCCAATGAGGTTTTAACTAAGTTTATGGTTCTTCTTCTGTAAAATCCTGAGTTAATAATCTACCAGAAACAGAACATTGACCCATCTTTCGTCCTTTTAAAAACATGAAATGTATAATGGTACTAAACAAATTGCCTTTTGAGACACAGGATGAAGAACAACACTTTACTTAAGACAACTACACAAAGCATTTATCACTTCTCGACCATAACTCTTTAATTGACTCTATTGTTTCTGCACCTAAAAGATCTGTCCCACGTTTTATTTTTCCTGGTACAATTACAATTGGACAGAGACAGTTTTGTCCCATTCCTCAAATCACATTTAACATTTTAAAACAGCTTGACAACTTCAAAAAAAAAAAAGTATCCAATGGTGGTCATACTTTCTTCTACCTCTTAACTGTTTATGGGTCCTAACTTCTCATGACTTTCTTCACTGTCTACTTTCTGTGAATTAATTACTATAATCACAGCAGCATCAAGTAATCACTGTCACACTTTATTGATCACTGAGTTTGGTTTATCTATAGAAACCAAGCAGAAACAAATTGTATTTCAACAAGCAAATGACACAAGAAGGGCCTTTTTAGCCATGTTCTTATTACTGTTCAGAGTCATCACTAAAGATCGTGGTTAAAATCACCGTAGAAGAAATATGACAAAGTACAATTCAGAGTGCTTTTTCCGCGACTCTCGCTTAAATCAAGGAAGAACATAAAGAGGCTCCGGCATTTTCTCTCTTTGCATCCTACCATATGCAAATTGAATTGTAAACATTCCATGGCAAAAGAAACAGACTCAAAAGACTTTTGTATCAATTTTTGATATCATACGAGAAAATGAATGGAACAGGACTTACCAGTTGTCTTTTGCCCATTTACATCCATCAGATTCTACTACATGTAAGCTATAGGCATGTCTAGACTTTTGGGATAGATTCTCGAAACTGCATCCAGACAATAAGGGAAAATGATCTTTTCAGAGCTCAGCCAAAACTAATAAGCAAAGCTCCTTCATGTAGAAGATGAAGCTTACCTTTGATGGATTAGATCACCATGAAAGGCAATCATTGAGCCTGCTTTCATTTCAATCGGCACAAAATCTCTCTGGTCGTAAGACGGGGATGGCCGATCGTAGGTTACACCATTTTCACCCCGGACAAACCTTCTAACCAAACCATCTGAAATCGAACCAGAGGAAAAAAACAACAAAACAAGACTGTTTAGCCAACCGGAACTATGATGATCAGAAAAGGACACGACAGATAATAGTTAAGAAAAACCAACTCTTGTGAGATCCAGGAATTGCCCAAAGACAACCATTGACAGTTGTAGAATCTTCTAAAGCCATCCAGAGACCAGTACAACTCGGTGGATCCGTGTACACAAAAGAGTTATCTTGGTGCGGTACGACTTCACCTCCGATTCCAGGTTGCTAGTAAAATCAATATCCCCGAATGTCACAGTTGAAAAAAACTAAAATTTTAGATTTATTATTCCAAAGAGGCAAGAATACTACTTGGACATTCGGGATGTTATAGGTTTGGAAAGTCTAAACGTAACTACAAAACACTGATTATGAAGTTGTTCATATAGATATAAGTGGCGATCTGCCTTCTCAACTGTTGAACGTTTGCATGTTCTATGAGAATCTCAGTTCCTAATTCTAAACAGAAATTAGCATATAGAGTGAACACCTCGACTTTTGCAACCAGACATTTCCATTGATCTAAGTACTAAAACACACAAGCAAGAAACAATCAAAAGTCCAAAAATTAAATAAAAGTACCTTGAAAATGTACATAGACTGCATGACGACTGGTCTCCTGTAACCTAAGGATGATACCAAACTTGAAACCTTGGACGAATATGTGAATTCCTTGTAAACTGGGTCAAGCTCATGCAGTGCTGCACCAACCACAAACATCATTAACCTGTGTGGTCTGTTTTTCTCTATCTCTACCCAACACTATAAAAAATTTGTAGTAAAAAAAAGAGATAAAGAAGCTAATAACAACTAAAATATACCATGGCCAACTTTGTTTATAGAAAGCTCTTTTGGTTGCTTCAATTCCCCATCGTCGCCAAAAGCTTTTTCTGAGATTCAAACATAAGAACTCTTTAGAATTCGAAACCAGCTAATATCGAGATTATAACAAAATCGCATAACGATATCAACAGAGAGTATCAAATTTACAAACGAAAATTGCATCCTAATTAAGTCACTACAAAGAAATTGATTGTTGTTTCTTACACAACTGCATCAAAAGAATTGCCTTAACTTTCGTGAAGTTTCATTTTCACATTCTACTGTTTTAAACAAGAGAACTTCAGTTTATTCAAAATTATATATTTCAAAAATTATTGGATAGAAGAAAACTCAAGTTAGGAACATTCATACTTCTACAAATAGTTTATTCACAGGCAGAGCAAACATCGTAGCAACACTATTCTGATTATGCAAACAAAATAAGTACCTGGGAAAATAGAAACAACGTAATTGAAGACAGAGCTTTTAAAGATTATAGGATACCTTCAAAGAAGAAGGAGATTTTCTGAGCGCTTTCAAAGAAGTAATTATCGGTCGTATGCTGCTGCGGAAGGAGCAAAACATCAAATTAGCATCAATTTAAAGTAATTTCAGTAAATTAATAAGACAAAATAAAAACATATGAAGAATTTGAATCGAAAAAAATTAGTAAACCTGATTTTTAGTGGAGAAAATGGAGGAGACGGAACAATCAAATTGATTCAGCAACTCATTCATCCTCTTCCTCAAGTCTCTAATCTCATCCTCACTCGCGAAAGATTCGATTACCAAATATCCTTTTTTTTTCATTATTACAAATCATTATTAACTTGTTCGCTCTTCAACCCAAACAAGAAATTCGAGTTAGGAGGTAATTTCAAACAAACCTTGAGAGTGGAATAACTCGAGCTGATCTGGAGTTAGACTTCCGGTGATTCCCATGACGCGGTGGCTCCTCCGGTACAGAATTTCTCCGGGAACAGTTTTCGTGATTTTGTACTTAAAATCCTTTGTGTGTGTTTCTAAATACTACAAGATCGTTTCTGTCTTGACTTTGATTACCCAAAAGGCTTAAATAAAGGACAAAAATGGGAACAAAGATTTTTTATAAACTCCAGTATTGTTGAGACCTTTGCCCACGCGCAGCATTTCGTTGCCGAACTTTTGTGTTGGCGATAGACGCCAGTTCCACGTGGCGTACCCTCGACGCGCTAAAATAGCGCGTGCATTCTTTTTGTTTATGGACCTAATAGTTGGGAACTATATGGGCCTAATTGTATTCGGAAGCCTTAAAAGCGACGAAATATCGGATATTGGTCTTTTTACATTGGGTTAAGGAGAGTTTTTAGTCGTAACTCGTAACTAAGACGTTAAAAAAAAGGTTTCTACTGCAGAAAATTTACTGCCCAATCTCGAAAATCTGAACAGATGAGTATTTCTGCAATTCAAAGTCTTCTTCATAGTCAAACAATATTGTGTTGTAACGTTTCAAGCACTATTGTGTTGGTTTCAACGTCTCACCCGCCAAAAAAAGCACTTCATAGATCAGTTAGCTCATGATACAAAAACCAAAAATCTAAAAGATATATGAAAAATGGAAAAACGATACAAAGGAGCGAATTAAAGAAAGAATCAAATCAATATTGACCATTATTTTCTCAAATAAACATAAGATTTACCTCGGAAGAATTTCTAAGAATATGATGAAACAAATAAAAACCCCTATTTCAAAGAATTTAAATAAACCCCAAAAAAAAAGACACCGTGGTCTCTAACCAATCAATGTACAAAACTTTTCGGGCAGCTTTCTTCACCCTCTCCTGTCCGTCTCTACATATCTCCTAACACAATGACCCTGACGTCTGCGTTTACAAAATGTACAAAACGCAAACGTTTCAAACCGCAAAACACCCCAAAACAAAAACGAAAAAAAATCAGATCCAAACGCTGTTCTATTCTTTGCCCCAGCAGCAGCAGCCATGGATTGAACTAAACCTCCTGTTAGATGCATCAGCTTCAATGTGTCAAAAGTATCAAACAATGTCTGTGGCTGTTACTCGGCGACCCTTCCCGGAGATAAATAGACTATTTCACTGCCCATTCAAACGCTGTCTCCCTAAAACTCTGGGCAGGACGAGTCGCCAAGTCCACTCTGATTTGAAAGAATTAGAATTACAAGGAATGAACACAGCTTTAAAGCAGCGGATTCTGGGTAGGCCGGCAATAAAATATGTGTGCTTTTATGTGGCATGAGGCGGTCTTGAATCTGGGGTTGTTGTTTTGTTCCTACGGGACATACAGTCAGGGCAAGGGAATGTGTAAATGGAGTCATTAGGTCGTTTTAGCTCAAACCCCTTTGAGTCACTATGAGACCTCATGTTTAGCATCTGACGTTTAAAAGTCCGCCATCTGCGGGAAAAACAAAAGAGAGAGAAGCGTTACAGCAGTAGGCGATAAAACATTTGCAGATGAGTGAAGATGCAAAAATGTGGAGCCTGAAGGAGTAGAAAGAAGTGAGTACCCGATGTTGGGATTGTCAAAGAGGATTGCTAACTTTCGCTTGTCCGGTCTAATTGTTTTGGAATGTCCTCCGAACAAATATCTCCGATGACCCATGAGGAAATGAGGAAAGTTTCCACCTTGTGTGGTCACAAATACCTCACTGTGGAGACAGACCGTGTAATCTATTGCAGCCATTCTGGAAGAGAAGTTCTAAACACAGAGTTTCATGTCAGAAAAATACAAGGATCACAAAGAGATAATACTCTGGAGCAAACAGCGGGAAAGAAGCAGACCTTATATGGAGCAAGTTCCTCCTCTGATGCAATCATCTCCTTAGTTTGTAAATTCGGGAACATCTCTAGTAGCGGCGCCATAGTTCTATTCGCATTATATATCTGACCAGATGCAAGGTAAATATATGTGCTTTTGTTGAATCCCATTCCTCTAAGCATTAAACCCACCTGAAGAGTTTACAAGAAAAAAGTATAAACCAAACCGAACAAGTCACACTGTTGCTCACAAGGGTTTGTGGAGCTATTCTGATATGAAGATATCCGAGAATGCTAATATAGTGTAGATAGTTGGAGCAGTGTCCAGACTTAAAACGCTTTAATGAGTACCTCTAAAGGAGTTAACGGGCATTTTCCATTTTGCCTAATAGCACCAGGTCGAATAACACGGCCTGGCTTTGTAAACTTTCCTTTCCATCCTCGTTCTCTTGCTGCAATCATATCTTGTTTTTCTTGGTTGCCACCATCAAATACACAACAGGAGAAAGCCACCATGTCCTGCAACATGTAGATACAGCTTATTATATCTATCGACTTAGACACAACGCTCTCCATTCAAAAATTCTAGCCATGATAAAGACCAGTGGGGATTCTTTAGATGCCTCTCCTCTACATGAAACAAACCTCTTCAAAACGCAGATGTACAGATACGTACTTCGCGCCGTGGTCTGCACTTTGGTCCTTCATTCTCTTCACCAATGTTTCTCCTAAGGTCAGTATGGGTTTCGAAAACTTCAAGGCTTCGTAATTCGCCAAACACCTAAGTCTCTGGACAGGTTGAGGCGCATCAAACGAAAGTCTATTCGCAAATGGGGATATTCGTATAATCCTGTGCCATGTAAAGATAACAATTCTTCAATAACAGGTGCTAAACAGAACCAAAACATCTCTTCCGCTAAAAATAAGGTGGTTTAATATGAACAAGATGTAACTTACTTCTCCTCAAGTAGCTTCGGCAAGATCGAGTCACGATAATATTGAATAGGTGACCACGCTTTAACTCTGAAGTTGTAGACATTTGTCATGTTATAGTCAAAACGCTCCATTAGATATTCAGGAATTGTATCAACCACCCGCACATCATTTGCTAAGGTACTGACAAAGAACTCTTCATCGTAGATGTCCCCAAATTTACTGAAAGAAAACCTTTTGTCAGAAAGCAGTCTACAATAGATGGCTTTGCTTGGATAAACAACGTCAAGACAAGATTTTCAAAAAAGAAAGCAATTTAACACCTTGGATCTCTCCATATGCTGTGATAGTGGAAGTTGGGAATTACTAGAGTTGCATTTAGATAGCCTGCCACAGCAACCGCATTGCATATCTAAGCATAACATGGCAGAGAAAAGTCAACAGCTTTGACATAAACAAGATTGCTAGACATCATTGAGCGAAATGCACATATTTAATGTATCATGAAAAGATCAACAAACCTACCGATGTCCGCTGCTGATTCAAGCCTCCATTTGCCTCGACATATATGAAACCGTTTGAATCGGGCAAGGCTACAATTATAAACAAAAAAAACGACACCTAATTAATCAAATTAAGATCCAAAGAACTAGCTATTTCTGAGCTCTATGCAGAACTTTGTGGAATGTACGAAACATTTTACTCTAGCGCATTAAAATCCAGAGTCAATTCTAAACCAAAAGAGAGCGTTTTGACAAGAAATACTTAATAAACGCTGCAGCTTACTGCAAACGAAAAGCAGAATTATGAAGAAATTACAAAAACAATGCAGTACCTCCAGTAGACTTGTTCACGTACGGCTTCCACTCCCCACCTTTATAGGAATGTTTCCAAATGGTTGATATCTGAGATGAATAAAATAGCATTGATGATACATGAAAATGAATAGCATTTATAAGTGGTTTCTGGCTATTGTGATTCTCAACGCAGTACTCAAACCGTATAGCACGCTGGCAAAATAGCCACAAAACAAAAGTAGCGTTCATGATATAAAGAGGTATTCGTTCACCAAAATCTCCCAACCTAACAGTAGTTTCAAGGGTAAGATACAAAACCAACACGAACCTAGAACTCAAAAGGAAAACTTCTGAAGCTAAAAGTCTTTCTCTCGATGTGCCTTTTAGCTTAAGTCGATGAATGAACAGTTTATACAACTTAATAGCGCTAAAACTGGATAGCACAGTATCTTTCCAACCTACAAGTCTAGAGATTGATAAAGATACTAAAAGCTTAACACAATGTATCCAAATTCATCACCTTGAATCCCTCTAGAGAAAGTTCAATCACGAAACCCTACCAATCAATCACTAAATCGTACTAATTTAGCCAAAAAGAGCAACAACTCAACCTGAAAAAAACCCGAAATTCGTTCAACATCCAATGATTCAGGGAAGAATGGGTGTGCACATAACAAGGTATCCAAAAATCAAAGGAGGAACCAGAGAATCATCAGAAACAAAGAAGAAGCCTATGTTACACAATGTGCGGCGGCAAAAAAACTAACCGCATCAGCTGTGGAATTATCGGCGTCCATCTCAGGGCGGAGCTTGGCGTAAACCTGCGGGCTTTTATAGACGGATCCTGGCGGAGCCCGATGCCGGATGATGGGACCAACATCGAACGAAACGGTGCCCATGTAAAGCAGCATACAGGAGATATAGATTAGGGGAGCGAACAGGAATATCCCCTGACGCCGGAGGAGAACCGATAAGAGGATCCAGGAGAGGCGATGAGCGAGGGTCCGGCTTGGCTGAACGGTAGGAAATCGACCGGCAGCTTTTGACCGGCCGTGACGGTAACGAGGAGAACGGCGAGGAGACGCCGGAGGAGACGGAGTGGTGTGGCCGCTTCCCGGCAGCCTATTCTTCGCAAGCATTTGAATAAATTCGACAGATCTCAATCCTAATTTTCCCTCCTCTTTCGTCGTCAACGCCTTACGTCATCATAAATCCTAACGGCGGCGGAGGAAGGTCGTAAAACGCAGAGATGCGGCGATATCTGACTCCTCCACGGCGGAGACGGCGGCGGAGCGCGGTTCCGTAATTTGAAGTAAGATCGCCGGAAGAGAGAGAGAGAGAGAGAGAAGAGAGTGTCTCTGTGGACCTTTTTTCTCTTTTGCGGTGGAGGCGTGATCAGTCACATGCACCCTTTCCTTCTCTTCCTTTGGCTTTCTGTCTGTCTTTTCTTTTTATTTTGCCCTTAGATTTTGATTTCAAAATTTTATTATGAACATTTTTCTTTAATTGGAATTGGAAACTCTGTTAAATAATTTAAACAGATTTTCCTTATTTCAATATATAAAAAGCAATTCATTTTTTTGTTTGGGACTAATAGTAATCTATTCAAGTTTTAGGATTTTGTGACCTTGTTCTACTTTTGATTATTCGTGTAAGATTTGGAAAACATCCAACAAAATTATATTGGCACTTTTGGATTATGGATAAATACGTGAAAAATCTATATAGTATATTTTCTCGTTGCAAAATTTCTATCTATCACAATTGTGAATTATCCCTTTCAACATATATAAAAACAATGGTTAAAAAAGCAAAAAGAAAAACATAATCAACTACTAAAAATATCTAGAATCATCCGCAGGATAAATAGATGTTTACAAAAAAAAATACTTATTTTATTCAACAAAATATTATAAACTAACTTGTTTAGACCAGAAAAAAGAAAGCATCTGTATTAAAAACATCAATAGTATATAATGACACAATAGTAAAAAGTATTTAATTCAAAACTAAACAACTCAGAAGACAAAGCCAACACGACAAGCAATGTTGATTCCATGCTCTGTTTCTCATTTCAGCTAATCTTTCGTCCCTCAACGACACGTGCTTTTGTAACACCGCCTCTCCTCATATGAGATGAGGTATTAAATACTCAACTTTTCAACTAAATTACCATAGTATTAACTTTAAATCAATATTAATTTCATAAATATAAATTTAAATAGTCTTGTAAATAACCAACTTAAACTCAAATAAATCATAATCAAATCTTAAAACTAACTGAAAACTATTTGAAATAGAAAGCTAAGTGTCTTAAAGACCCCAAGGACCGAACTAGAAAACCAGCTCGCCACCATCACACGCCAATCACTCATGCTGCTCCTACTTATCTGCACAAGGGGAACGGGAAAGAAGGGAATGAATAATTTAGATTACCCAGGAGAATGCATACACGTGGTCCACCACATATATCATTACCCAACCTGTCGCTAGCTAGAGCCACACGAACAAGCGCAGTTTAATGATTTCTCTAACAATCAACAAACAAATATGCAATGAACAAAGCGAGCATACTGAACGCCTCTCGTTACAGTATCCCATGGATTAACCTCCATAAGTTTCGTATGTCTTACACCCTTGCTAGGGGACGCATCTCCGCAAAAGTCTAAGTCGCTGCACGACTGGCCTGTCGACCTGAGCGCCACATGGCACTACGACAGGCACATCCTCTGTCGCAGGCATCAATCATGCCAGCAGTGCCTCTCACTGCTGGGTCTTAATGCAGTTTGTGCTTTCACACACTATATGCAATGCAATGCAATTCATAATTCTCACAAGCAATATTCAACATCAAGCAACAATCAACCATATTAATCCATACCTAGATCTATGTTCTGAAAGTAAATAACAACCTAGCAAACAGCACATATCTACAAGTTACGACCTAGAACGGAACTTGTAAGGGATTTAGAGGACTTGGAAGTCAGATCTAATCAGGAGAAGCTAGCTAACAATATCGAAGGGAAGACATGAACACATCTTCACCTTTGCCTAATCGAATGAAAGCTAAAAAGGGATCTAGGATTTAAGGGATCTAACGACGGAAAGCAAAAGACTAAAGAAAACGGCGGCTAGGAACGGCGGAACGACGGCGGCTCTCCTCGGCGGCGGTGGTCGGCGGTGAAGACGAACGGCGGCGGCGGCGGCTTGCTCGGTTAGGGTTCCTAGGTTCTATCTCTGAGTGCTTTGGGAGTTGTGATGGAAAACCTAACTCTCTACCTCTATTTATATAGGGAAGACTCTGGGAAAACCCTAATACCCTTTCCTCTTGGGCTTCTGACACATGGGCCTTTCCTTTTCCTATTGGGCCTAGATCCAGGGCGTTATAATTCTCCCCCTCTTTAGAGGGATTCACCCTCGAATTCTTGTACCCACCCTGCGATCCCCTCGCACCCTCAAAAAGTTCAGGACACCATTTCCTCATGTCATTTTCCTCTTTCCAGGTCTCCTCACTAATTCCATCTCTTTCCCAACACACCAAGACCATTCGGGTTTCCTTCCCCTGAACTTCCCTTGTCTGATATTCCTTTATCGAGACAGGCGTGCTCTGCACCCGGAGGTTTCCACTCACATCCACTGGCGGATCAGGTAGTATTAGCTCAGGCTCTCTAACTACCTTTCTCAACACAGATACATGGAACACATTATGGAAGTCAGACAACTATTGTGGCAAATCCAATCGATAAGCCACATTGCCAACTCTCTCAATGACCCTATATGGCCCCATGTACCGTGGCTTAAGCTTTTTCAGCTTCCTAATCTCTTTCACACCGGTGAAGGTTCTCATTTTCAGGTAAACCTCATCTCCAACTGAAAACTCTAAGTCTTTCCTACGCTTATCGACATAGCTCTTCTGACGGTTGTGGGCTTCCTTAAGTCTGTCCTTAAGCAAGTCCACCTGTGTAACCGTCTCCTTGACCATGTCCGGCTCTAGGTCACGTCGTTCACCCACCTCAGTCCAACAGAGGGGAGTGCGACACGGTCTACCATACAGAGCCTCGTATGGAGACATACCGATACTCGCGTGATAACTGTTGTTGTAGGCAAACTCAGCTAACAGTAAGTACTCGCCCCACTTCCCCGCCCAGTCAAGAACACACGCCCAAAGCATGTCCTCGAGGGTCTGAATCGTCCTTTCCGATTGTCCATCCGTTTGGGGGTGATAGGCAGTACTGAGATGAACCTTAGTTCCTAATGCTTTCTGAAAAGCCTGCCAGAACATCGATGTGAACTTCGGATCATGATCTGATACTATGGTAACTGGAACTCCATGCAGTCTCACTATGGAATCCATATACTTCTGAGCTAAGCGATCGGCTCCATCCGTCTTTCTAATAGCTAAGAAGTGCGCATACTTGGTAAGGCGGTCCACGATTACCCAAATCGCATCCTTATACCCAGTAGTCCGCGGCAGTCCGGTGACAAAGTTCATAGTTACCATGTCCCATTTCCATTCTGGTAGTGGTAAGTTCTGGAGTAGTCCGCTTGGAACCTGATGTTCTGCTTTTACTTGTTGACATGTCTAACACTGTGATACCCAGATGGCGACGTCCTTCTTCATACCGTCCCAATGGTAGTACCTCTTCAAATCCCGGTACATCTTTGTGCTTCCCGGATGGATAGCAAACCGTGACTGATGAGCTTGGCGCAGGATCTCGTCCTTCAGATCCTTTACCCTAGGAACACAAACCCTATCGCAGAATAGGTAAGTTCCATTAAGCGCAACGCGGTATCCATCCACATTGCGGTCAATCATCCTTCTGAGTGCATGGTCATCCTTCTGAGCCTCGCGGATCCGTTCCAATAGGTCCGCTTGACCCACGACTTCCAAACCGTTGGCCGGCTCACCGATGGTAGTGGCACACAGGCGCAGGCTGGCTACCATCGATACTAGCTCCTTAGCTTCCTTAGCAACTGATACATCTGCCTTTCGTCTACTCAGGGCGTCCACCACCTAATTGACTTTCCCGGGATGGTAGACGATATCCAAATCGTAGTCTGCCAACAACTCTACCCACCTGTGCTATCTCAGATTCAGGTCCGCCTGGGTAAAGATGTACTTAAGACTTTTATGGTCCGTAAACACTTGCACCTTCTCCCCGTACAAGTATAAACGCCAAATCTCAAGGGCAAACACTACTGCTGCTAACTCCAAGTCGTGAGTGGGGTAATTGACCTCATGCTTGCACAACTGCCGGGAGGCGTATGCGACCACCTTCTCCTCTTGCATGAGCACGCAACCGAGTCCAGTCCCCGATGCGTCTGTATACACCACGTATGGTACACCTGTCCTTAGTAATACCAAAACGGGGGTATCGGTCAAACGTCTCTTCAGATCTGCAAAACCCTTGGCACAAGCTTCCGTCCATTGGAACTTGACATCCTTGCCTGTTAAGGCTGTCAATGGCTTGGCCAATGCTGCAAATCCTTTCACATACTTCCTATAGTACCCAGCCAAACCCAAGAAACTACAGACCTCAGTAGCACTTGTCAGCGCAGGCCAGTTGGTAATAGAAGTGATCTTTTCCGGATCCACTGCTACACCAGCTTTGGATACTACATGGCCTAGGAATCTGATCTTCCTATGCCAGAAGCTGCACTTACTAAACTTCGCAAACAACTGATGCTCCCTCAACTTCTCCAGAACGATACGCAGATGCCTGTCATGCTCCTCTTTACACCTGGAGTAGACTAATATGTCATCAATGAAGACAATCACGCACTTATCCAAGTGTTCGCGAAAAACGTCATTCATCAACTTCATAAAGGCAGCGGGCGCGTTAGTCAGTCCAAATGGCATAACCACGAACTCGTAATGACCATAACGCGTCTGAAATGCGGTCTTCTTCACATCCTCCTCTGCTATGGGTATCTGATGATATCCCGACGCAAGATCGATCTTCGAGAACCAAGAGGCTCCCTGCAGCTGGTCCAACAGCTCATCGATCCACGGCAAAGGGTACTTATTCTTAATAGTCACCTTATTCAAACCTCTGTAATCAATACAGAGTCTGAAGCTACCGTCCTTTTTCTTCACGAATAGCACAGGTGCTCCCCATGGCGAGCTACTTGACTGGATAAACCCTTTATCTAGTAAGTCTTGAAGCTGCTTCTTCAGCTCAGTCATTTCCACAGGTGCTAAACGA